GGCAAAGTAGAAGAAGCGTTACGAGAAGGTCGTCCTTGTCCTCCGTGTCTTCTCAGGCTTCGGGTGATTTAGAGAGAGGGCAAAGTAGAAGAAGCTTTGCGAGAAGGCCGTCCTTGTCCTCCGTGTCTTCGACGGCGAGTACTAACACTCGTCGTAAACGTGAACCTCGAGCATCAATTTACCAGCGTCGCAATTTCGTCAGGTTGCAAAGCACTGATGCGTTGGCATCGGATGCGATGCAAGAGTTTTTATTCATGTCTTTGAAAGCCGAAGAATCAAGCTCAGACAATTTGTCGTCAAACCAGCTTCCAGCTTGTCCAAGAAATAATACCGATGGCGAGCTAGGGTCCATTTTTGAATCATCATTTGATTTAACGGAAGATCGATTGATGAGGCTATTCAAATTATTTGATACGGACGAAAGTGGAACAATTTCCTATGATGAGCTCAAGCTTGGTCTGAATTATCAAGTAACCGAGCTCGGAACTGCTGGTCTCGGAGATGAAGCATTTGCATTATTGGTTGAGCATCTTGACGCAGATAAATCCGGCGATGTATCATTTGCCGAATTCTCGGAAGGAATTAGATTACTACTACTCAGATCCACCTTACACCGGTTCGCACAAACGCAGGCTAYGAACGAGCCACTTGTAATAGAGATCTTCGACTACAATAGTGGTAGTTTGAATCGATATTTTCTGCAGGGTGTTGSTCAGCGAAGTGCGTCTAAGATGAACCTTCCAAAATTGCGATCTTTCCCATATAAATCCTTGGTGAACTTCTTTATGCAACCTAGGGCAGAAGACGTTACCGTGCGATGGATTGATATAACAGGCAAACAAGCTTCAGACATTATGAAAATGATGGCCTTGAAATATAAGTTGCATCCACTATCTCTCGAAGATGCTCTCGACACAAGCAGTCAAAGGTCGAAGGTTGATTCATATGACGGCCATAATTTCATTATGATTCCTGTCTTCAAGCTGAACCATTCGGTTATTCATGCGGAMAAGGTCGATGAAAAGAATGAGRAGAACCGAACTTGGTACGATAGGTTGCTCCATCGCGGTAAAAAGGATCATGACACAACCTCCACAGTATCTGATAACGAAGATCGTACAAAAATGAAACTGATTGAGGTACATATGACATCAATATTCATCWCGAAGCCTTACTGGAACACTGTTATAACGTTCAACAACGAGAATAGCAGCRAGGAAAACTGGAGCGGGCTGCGAACTGAATTAGAAAAAAGCTATTCAAGACTGAGGCAATACGATGGTCAGATCTTGGTCTACAGCCTCTTGGATCGAACGGTGAATCAAATAGGTCCCTTGATACAAACGCTCAAGAAAGTTATCAAAGCTGAGAAGAAGATTATAGCGGAGGAACGCTACAAGAACATGGATTCTATTCACTCCTTGGAGCGCGAGTTGTCGGCGATGAGCCGCAGGTTGAAACCATACTTGAGAGTTGTACTACATCTAATCGAGGATGATTCCTTTGGCCCGGCAGCAAGTATGTACATCCGAAACGTCCTTGATGATTTAGAAATATACGAYGAAGACGTTAAGCATTTGATTTCAATGTGCGAATCTACGTATCAAGAAGCCGAGAAATTCCAGGCAAAACAAATGGAGACAACTCTATACACCCTGACGGTGATATCTGCCACTTTTTTGCCAGCGCAGTTTCTTACAGGTAAATGGAACTTGCTCGGTGTATCACAGACGTACCCAATATATCCTTGTTCCGTTAGTTTGACTACTAGAACCATTTTCATACACTAACAGCGTCGACTTTCCAATTTGACTTCTCCCACGCGATCTGCCCGGTAGGTGTGTGGGGACAGAATTTTGCAAACATGCCGGAGCTTCACACAACGTGGGGTTATTACATGTTTTGGGCACTTGCAYTAGGGTCCATGGTTGTCACCATCTCCTGGCTCAATTTCGGAAGGCAATCGCTATAGGTAACGCAAGGTCCTACTTTACATCGAGTGTCTGTTACATAATTCCCAGACGGGCTTCCTATCAGAACGCAATGCTTCTACTAGTGTTCCGGCTATGCGGTGTGAAGCGTTATACGAAAAAGATGCAATTTAGAAAAAGCCAAACTACGTTGAGAAATTGTAACTMGAATTATCATTTTATCATCAAATATAGATCCATTCGAATAGATGACCCCTTTCGTTTGAAGTACTCTTCGAGCATGCCACAAACCACCTCCCCTTGTTGTGACTCTCCTTTTTTACTTTTCGCACAATGCAGGGTGCATCACACCATCCGCATTTCCTATTTTTATGGAAGCGTTCCAGTTTCTTCTGGATCTTTTTTTCGTTGTCAAATTCCATGACAGTGTCGCACCAGGTTGTGGTGTACGGCTCGCCACCTTCTTTGAGTGATTGGTAGAATTTGTTGACGTTCTCGTCGGCTCGGACTTCGTCAAAACTGAAGTTTTCCACCGTCATCGAATCCAAGCTTCTCCCCCGACTACAAGCGACGTATGCCTGCCCGGGCGCAAAGCAGCCCCTGAGATCTACGTGAAGCCAATCGATGGTCATGCCCTGCGATTTGTGAATGGATATAGCCCACGCGAGGCAAAGAGGAACCTGCCATCGAGTTGCATGGCCACAGCCCTTGAACTCTTTCCGAAACGGGATGGGTACAATCAACCGTCCCTTCCCATTTGTAAACCGAACGTAGGGTAGGGACTTCGGCAATATTTTTTTGGCGGATCGTATGTCGGCCAATCTTTTTTCGAYGGATTGCAATTCGGCTTTCAACTTGTCGCAATTTTTGCACTCTATGTTCAGTTTCAGTTCGTCCAAAATACCYGGGTCGATACAATCAAAGTTGTCGTTTACAACGTGGGTTTCATCTGTAGAAGAACAACGGTCATTCCTGCTTCCTATTTCGTGTTCGGTTTGTTCATTTGCTACTTTTTCTTCATTATCATCGGCTTGAGTGGAAGCATTTGGTGACTGGCCCTTTTGTAGAATGTCGGGGCCTTCTCTCTCACGCTCCTCTTGCTCCTCCCGCGTCCTCATTTCTGCCTTTAAGAGAGAACAATAAGAGGAAACAGGTATAAAAGCCTTCAGCACACCTCTGCTTCCATTTGCTAGTCCATCGCGAACGTCTAGATTCCATAGTAGCATTACTTGCGCTTCTTCTTTCAGTTCTATCTTATCTTTTGCTCTGCAGTTGTTCTTGAAAAACCTCTCGTTTGCGTGTTCTTTCAGTACCTTGTAATCGTGTTTGATCTGGCAATCGAATCGCTGAAAGTTTTCGAACAGAATATTGGGATCTTTGTTACCCGTATACTTCGCTATCGAGGAGACACTGATGGTGGAATTGAGAGTTTCGTCTTTCTCGAGAGTCTCCACTTTCTCTTTTTGAGTCGTCAAGGCGGGACGCATGGCAATCAAGGCCTCGTAGTCGTCGGTCGCTTTGAGCCTCTCTTTTTTTTTCTTCGAGCTCGGCAAGACCATTGCGAGCCTGTTGCAGTGCTTCGGGAACCGGTGGCGCCTCGACGGATCCAAACAGGAAGGGCAAGCCTGTGAGGCATTCGAGTCCGTACTTCTTGATGACTTTCGACTTGTACTTTTGATCAAAGACCACCTCGTCGATCGAAACAAACAGGATCTCCTCCCCTTCCAGCCCCGCGAGTTTGTTTCTGTTGACCGCGTCGACGTCGCGGTTGCGGGCGTGCAGGCGCGTCGGAACGATTCCGTCGCTTCGAAGCGGCAGCGGGTTCCGGAGTGCGCTAAGGGCCGCGCTGTGTCTGGGAGATCGCAGGTCGCTCGTCTTCCCCTCGCGCATGTCGTTGAGAAGCTCGAAGAGCCCGTCGTTGCGGTTGGTCTGCCGGTGCACCGTTTCGAGCTCGATAGTGTGCATCTCGCTCTTCTGCCACGAGTGGCTCTGAAAGGCATACGAGCCCTGCCGTCCTATGCGAAGATCGGATTCCTCCTCGCACAATTCGTCGTTTTCCTCTATGGCATTGCCGCACCTCCCGTCGTCGCCACTACACCTACGGGACGAGTTTGGCACGGGAGGCAATTGGAAGAAATCACCGATCACAATCAACTGGATGCCTCCCCATGGCGGTATGTCTGCCAAGCCATCGGGGGTCGTGCTCCAGCGCATTTCTAGCACATGAKGATTTACAATGTTATCTGCTTCGTCCTGGATGGCTTTCAGCCTATCTCTGACTTCCGAGTAACACCTGATAATCGCAACTATACATTCGAGGACGTCAARAAAGTGTCCATCGACCATGGATATTTCGTCGATGAGCAATACCTTCGTTTCCTCAATTGTTTCTCTCGTTTCCTCGCTCATCATCTTATTGAAATCGCTGTAGTACTCCCCCTTCTGGAAATTTCCCCATTTGTGTATGGTTTCCCCCCCACGTTGATAGCCGCGACACCGGTCGGTGCGGTGACGTGGGTTGTGATTGCTTCGTTGCGAAAGTATTCCACGATCCTCCGCGTCGTCCACGACTTTCCGGTACCGGCTTTTCCGGTGAGAAAAATGTTCTGGCGGTCTTTTGCCAGAGCGATGGCTTTTTCCTGGAGMTCGTCCCCTTTCTGGCGTCGCTCGGTTCCCGCCGGGAGGCCGTCCTCCAGCGCGAGGTCCCGGATGCCGTCCGTGATGTCTCCGAACTCGGGGGACGACCCGAGTTCTTCGGCCCAGGAACGKGGCTGTGCAGTTTTTGGGGAGGGAACGCCCCCGTCGTTGTTCCGGGMAGGGCCGAAACCGCCGCGAGCGTGGTGCCGCGCACTGTTACACGCACTGCCCCCGGACTCTCTCCTCGGGGATCGCCATTGCTGGCCTCCTCCTAGGTTGGGAGAGGATCGAGGCCGCGGTTGCGGTTGCGGTTGTTGTTGCGGCCACRGAGATGTCTGTCCCGGAGACCGGCGCCGGCGGCTCTTGGAGTAGGGATTGCGAATCACGGAGGAGTTCGACCCTCGGGTGGATCGCTGTTGCGGGGTCCGCCATCGGGATTCTCTGCTCGGAGGCCCACGGAGGGAGGTGCAGTGACCGAGAGGCCGCTTCCTGGGTGTCGCAGAATCCGGTCGCTGTTGTTCCATGGATCGTTGTTGTTCTTCCATCGGATGAGCAGCAGGTGGCATCGAGTTTGCTGTAGGTGTCGGTCTAGCAATCGGTCCCTCGATCTTCTCTTCTTCTTCGTGGAAAGGGAACAGCGACTGCAACCGTCTGCGTTCTCRTCGCCGGTGTGGCTGGATTTGGAAGCGMCCCGTGAAATTCAATGCTATTCTACCGAGGATGTAATATGCAACGGCATCGGCACCTCGCAATCAGCCATTGACAACACGAAACAAAACAAAACGTGTTTGATTGTGTTGCGAGGCTTCAGTTTTTTGCGCAACATTCGTCTCGTGTGAGAAAACTCGTCTCCTTCGTTGTGGTATCCAAGGCAAGTCGTATCGTATCGTACGAGGTGCGCAACGGCCGATTCTAGTGAGTCGAAAACTCGACTAGAACAAAACACAAAACTGAAACGAACGCCAAAAAACCTTTCACTAGAATAGAATTACTTGTGAGTTAGTCAGTCCCGGTATATTCGTGAACGAGAAAAGTTTGGGGAGACTATGATGTACATTACCGTACGTAAGGTACAGCACTTCGTACGATGTACCTACGTCCTACGATGTACGAGTAGTACCATACTTTACATACTCGTACCCGTACCATGAGGTCCTTTTCAAATTTCAAATTGTTGTTGACAGTTGACACCAGCTTTTCTTCTCCGCAATGAATTGCGGAATCGCTGTCGTCTTGTGTCCCAGCGTCCGATGACACCAACCTACGAAATCCTGAGCAATCGATGGCGCTATTCTATTCCTTCGAACAATGACGAAATCTGGTGGTACTGCTCTTCTATTGCTATCGCTAAYATGGATCGTAGCACCGAACACACTGCCTGAGCTTCGTTCCGTCGAGGCMCTCGACATATCGCCCGTGCCATCGTTGCGGTCGAGGGGAGGGTTGGGAACGACCGGTTCACGGTCCGGCGCAATGCGTCTCTCACCGGCACGGACCTRTTCCACGGGGAGCCGGTGCGCTGGGGTGGGATYCCAAATCGTGCCAGYGACGAATCAACCTYTGCCGCGATATAGAACAGAACGAATAGCGGGCAACCGATTTCGTACCCGGCTCGGCAACAGAAACAAGGAGGGCAACGACGAGCTCGACGACTCGGAAACAAGCACCAGCACACGAGAAGCCAGAACAACCAAGGAAACGACAACGGCGAGAGATGCGCGAACAAAGAATCCACGCGGCCAAAACCCCATTTCCGACTTTTTGTACGGAGCCAACTACGTCCACTCCCAGTACTTGTCGATCGTCTGGAGGTACTCCGTCGTCCGGAGCCTCGCCGTGACGGTCCCCATCGGGATCGCGATCTGCCTCGACGAGCGGTACGGCCTGTACGATGTCCTCTTCCGTGGCCTGCGGTCCGTCTTTTTCGTGTCGTCGGCCGCCGCGAGGCTGCTGCAGCTCCCGCTCGAGGTCGCCCAGTCCCTCCTGCTGGGCCTCTGGGAGGTCTCCCCGGAAACCACGGCCGCCGCCATCGGYGTCCTCCCGAACGCGGTCGCCRTCCCGGCCGTCCAGCTGGGGCTCGCGGCACAGAGGGCCCTGGCGGCGGTCGCAGCGATTGGCTGCGAGAGCAACKCCGCCACCTTGTTTTCGTCCATGCTGGCGATCCTCGTGTGGAGGCCCGCCGTCGAGGAGTGGCAGTACCGATCGGTCCTGGACAAGCTGCTCTTCGGGCCGCCCCGCTGGGCACTGGCGTGGAGGCGGAAACTGCGGGCGGAKCCGCTCGAGGGGAGTTCCGCGACCGGGAGGGCGGGCAGGAATGCCAGAAGCAGCGAGACTCCTAGTAAAATGGTCGACACCGACGACGGCCGTGGCGCAACGAAGGTGTCTTCCGAATCCGACTCGTTGCGAACCACAGAGGAAGCTGCTCCGTTCGTGAACCAATCGATGGTCGAGGTCGAGGTCGAAGTCGAAGTCGAGGATTCCGCAACAACAAATCGATCCCTTGTCAACAAATTGTTCTTTGGAGCTCCTCGATGGATCCGAGCTCGAGGGCGAAAGCGAGAGCTGTCTMTTCCCAGGAATGTCACAAAGGACATCGACCCTGTCGAGGACGAGCTCCCGCTCGTCGATGAAACTATGCACTCGTCGACCAAAGAAGAGTCGTCTTTATCAACCGAGAAAGCGACCRCGTCGCTCAAACAATCCTCGGYAACAGACGAGATCAACGTGGATGCCCCGACGGAAAAACGCTCCTTCGTGGACAAGGTGCTCTTCGGAGCTCCTAGCAGGCTGCGCAATCGGAGGCGACGGAACGAGCTGCCCTCACTTGCGAACGATACAAACCCCGAAGATATAATCGAGAACGATGGTCCATCGTCGCCCGAAACCATGCCCGTTACTACAGAAGCAGAGATTGTCGAAACACCCAAGAAATCCATCGCGGGAGACAGCGAGGACTCGATCAATTGCAATAGCGATGGCGACAGCGATGGCGGCGACAGCGGGTACACACCCTTCCTACCAGACGAATCYACCCGCATCCTTCTCGGAAGCCTTTTGTTTGCCACGACGCGGCTTGGTTGGCTGTCCTCGGACCCGGCCGACCCCGTGGCCCTGTCCAATTCCCCGTACGGCTTTACGATCGGCTTCCTCCAGTCGATCTTCTCGCTCCTCTCGGGCGGCCAGGCCTCGGCGCCCGAGGTCCGCCACGGCCTCCAGATCTTTATACTCCTGCTGGCGATCCACCAGACCGTMAGCACCTTTTTGGTGGCCCAGCACGTCTTTGCCGGGATCTACCGCAGGCGGGGACTGGCGGCCTCCGTGGGAGCGCACGTGTCGTGGACGGTTGGAAAGGGGACGATCGTMTTTCGGCTCCTGTGGAAATTCTGGGAAAATCTCACCGCCGGTATATGGAGAAACACCTTTGGCAGCAGCCCGGAGGAGGAAGACATGGCAACGGAAGGGACAAACAGTGCGTCTGTCGATTGAATCGTTCAATCGATTTACTTCGGGGTAGGGCAGAGTGGGCCTTGCTAACAACAACAACAACAACAACAAAAAGCAATTTCGCTTCACATTTTTCATATCCTGGGACTGAAATACGCTATAATCCGAACACAATGAAAAATAGTACAATGGCAGCTAGTATTGTATAGGAATGGGTGATTCCCGTAATCATAAAATCTATTGTGACATACTTTGCATCTATGACGTTACGGGAATAAAAATCTGACTACATGGATTTGTGTGTCATAGAGTATGACTCGCTACATGTACCAACACAACYGGAATGAATTTAAATATACAAATAATCAAATTCAAATCTCCCAAATATTGAGGTTACATCTCAATCATTGCCTTCCGTTTCTAGTTGTAGTAGTACCCAAAACTCAAGTATTAATTTTTTCATGATGTTAATTCTAAATACGGCTATTGGAAATGACACAAAATKWTATGATATGCTTTGTCATTTCAAAAATTATARCTTAGGTGTCAATCTTGTTGTTCTCTACCACCAGCAACTTYACAAGGGTAGCACAAGATAGTAGTTACGACTAGTCCTCCTTTCTTTCAACAACATCCTCATGCACCTCCTGAATTAATTACCCATTGTTGCAGACATATTCTCTGTAGTAGTGATTGGAAAAAGAAGATAGATAGACCCAACAAAYCTTTTTATAGTGGTAGTAGTACAAAGAATGAGTTCCTTCCTCAAATACTCAGACAAGCAAAATGGAAATGATATTTTCAGCCCGCAGGAGGAGGAAGAACAAGAACAATGATCATAGTAGTCATCATACTAGTAGTAGCAGAACAAATTTGTAAAATTCTTCTGATACTAACATTGAGGAGGACAATAACCTTCTAGATTGGACACCTTTGAAGAAGATGACATTTACTATTGTAAGGAGGAGGAAGAAGAACAAGAACAATGATCATAGTAGTTATCATACTAGTAGTAGCAGAACAAAATTTGTAAAATTCTTCTGGTGATACTAAAATTGAGGAGGACAATAACCTTCTAGATTGGACACCTTTGAAGAAGATGACATTTACTATTGTAATATTTGAGATACACCATCCAGCAGGTAAGGGATACAGCAACATTTACTACTCCTGTAATATTTTTAGGGATACTTGCTTCGGCATTGATAGTAGCAGCAGAATTAAGAATTAAGGTGTTCACTCCTAAAATCATGGAAGTCAAAATGAAAAAAACTAGAATTTTTTTTGACTGAAATTTTTGATGGAAAAGGGACGAGCCAGAGGGGGTACTACTAGTAGTAGAAACACCACTAAAAATCCAGTGTGAATATAGTAGACCATCATAGTACAAAATGAATGGCTGTTTTTAAGGACAGTAAACTGTTTCTTCCAGAAAATATACACAGTCAATAGTTGCTGTTTCTTTGAAACATRACAGTTTCTGCCACAAAATACATTTTATACCACTGGATGTCTCACAAAAAGACCTAATTGACCTACTTGCACCGTCTGTACGTTTGTCGTACCTTNACAGTTTCTGCCACAAAATACATTTTATACCACTGGATGTCTCACAAAAAGACCTAATTGACCTACTTGCACCGTCTGTACGTTTGTCGTACCTTGTACTTGGCGTGAACATGCGTGTTTCGGAAGTTCTGATGTTCTTGTCTCGTGCGCAGGTACTTTACGTACTTGTAGTACTGAACATATGAAGTTCAGAGGTAGGTAGGTACGGTACCCGGTACCGTACGATGTGATGTACGTTTCAGACAGATGCGCGTGATTTGAGAAAATCTTTTCATTTTCGAGAAAAATAAAAATCTGCGGAAATCAGTCGAAGTCGATCGATTTTCAAACAATTTTCATCCGATCCTTGCTCAGAAATCTTCTGCAGGTGGGATACACTACTCGCGTACTGTAGTTGTGCTTTCGTTCGTTCTTTCTGTTCATCGCTACAACTCTGCATCATCGTCACCATACTTCGTAGTACTBTGCAAGCAGATACTATGACAATGGCAATCGGCATCCAATCGCTCCGACGACGATCCCTACTTGTTCTCCAGATCTCGCTATTACTAGCAACYGCCAACATTCGGTGCATTCGAGCCTTTCAGCGCATCCGATCGGAAAGCGTCAAAAACCTTGCCGGAAGAACCAGCATGTCGTCGTCTTCCTGCCTGAACGGAAGCGCCAACCCGCTCTTGGAAGCGTGGACCCAGCCCTTCTCGCTGCCTCCCTTTGACAGGATCCAGACCGAACACTATCGGCCCGCCCTGGAGGTTGGGATGGAGGAACATCTCCGAGATTTACAGGCCATTGTCGACAACCCAGAGCCACCGTCTTTTGAAAACGTCATGGTGGCCTACGACCGCGCTGGGAGGACCCTGAACAAGGTCGGGGGCGTCTTTGGGAACATGTGCTCGTCCCAGAACACACCCGAGCTGCAGGCCGTTCAAACGGAAATGTCGACAATTCTGAGCCGCCATCGGTCCTCCACGTACACTCTTCCAGGGTTGTTCGACAAGGTGGAGCAGGTGCACCGGGAGCAGCAGGCAGAGAACGGCGGTGGTCGAACCAGRGAGGAYAACCGCTTGACCGAACGCATTTATCTAGACTTTACCCGTTCCGGTGCACACTTTGACACAGATAAGCAAGCGGAGAATGCCGACATACAAGCCAAGCTGGCCTCGCTGATTACGGAATTTATGCAAAACGGTAAGTCCTTGCTGCGGAAGAAGGATATTATGAAGAATGCATCATTGCGATTTGTAAGGAAAGCAGCATCCGCAAATTATGCCGGGATGGCGAACCAGATGTCTTGACCTACAAACTCATCGTTTCGCGTTGTGTATTGCGATATCGTTCGTGGAAAAAAAGTCCTGAAGGACGAAGAACAATACGAGTTGGTTCTGAAGCGGGATGATCTTGCAGGATGYCCGGATTCCTTGGTAGAGGCCGCAAAGAACGCAGCCGAGGAAAGAAAGAAAGCAGACGACGAGTACGTCATWACGCTATCGAGGTCGCTCGTGGAGCCTTTTCTTACCTTTTCGAGCCGCCGGGATCTCCGGGAAACCGCCTGGAAGGCTTGGACCTCGCGCGGTGAAATGGATCCCGACCGTGACAACATCAAGATYGCCACTGACATCCTCAAACTGAGGCAGAAACAAGCAAAGCTACACGGCTACAAGAATTTTGCAGAATACCAGTGCGTCGATCGGATGGCGAAAACCCCCGAAAAGGTGATAGAACTACTCGAAAATGTCTGGGAAAAAGCCAAGGTTTCAGCCAATGCCGAGCGAAAGGAACTTGAAGACTACGTCAAGCAACAAGGCAGTCTTGGCGAGGACGAAAAAGACATAATCGAAAACGGTGTCCAGGCATGGGATTGGCGTTATTATGCAGAACAGGTTCGAATCGCGAAGTACGATTTCGATGAGAGTCTCCTGAAGCCATACCTAAGCCTCGAGAGCGTCACCAATGCGGTCATGGCCGTATCGAACAAATTGTTTGGTTTGAAGTACATCCCGAGRGAYGATATCAAAACCTACCACGAATCCGTCAAAGCGTACGAGGTCCGAAACGAACGGGAGGATGACAAGCTCGTTGCGATCTTTCTCCACGACAACTACGCTAGACCCTTCAAATCCGGCGGCGCGTGGATGTCGGAGTTCCGCTCTCAAACAAAAAATCTTTCAGAAGARATGAAGGAAGAGTACCAGGGAATCCCTATCGTTACAAACAACAATAATTTTGCCAGAGGTAAAAACACGTTGCTCTCCTTTGATGATGCCACWACGTTGTTCCACGAAATGGTACGTTAGATGCACTTTAATGCTTTTTCGAGTACTACAATGTACTTTTTTGAATGTTTGCTGAACAGTTCTTGCGAAATACTTCTTCTATCCTCCCTAGGGACACGGCCATCATGGCATGCTGTCAGATTGCACCTACGGTCGACTTTCTTCCACCAATGTGCTCAGAGATTTTGTGGAGCTTCCTTCGCAGCTCATGGAACACTGGTTCGAAGAACCTGAAGTTCTGAAGGAATATGCACGCCACTATGAGACGGGAGAACCAGTTCCGGACGAGCTTATCGAAAAAATGAACAAGGCGAGATCCTTCAACCAAGGGTTTGCTACAATCGAATACACGGCATGTGCCCTCCTCGATATGCTCCTTCACCAGGTCGACGACTACGAGAACTTTGACATGTCCACGTTCGAACGAGAAGAGCTCGATAGGTTGGGCATGCCACAGGGCGTTGTAATGCGCCACCGACCTGCTCATTTTAGCCATCTRTTTGCGAGCTCGGGATATGCTGCTGGATACTACGGTGCGTACAAACTTGCTGCTCTTCTTTGAGTCGATTGCGAATCTTTGATGGAAATGACWCTCAACTGCTTGTGYGCACACCTTTTTTCCTGGACACGAACCTTTGCTTTGTTATAATCTCTTTGTATCAGTTTATTTGTGGGCCGAGGTTCTCGATGCGGATGTGTACGCCGCCTTTAAGGAAACCGGGAATGTGTTTGATCCGGATATGGCAGAACGAGTTCGCAAGTACGTGTACTCCGCTGGGAATACCGAGGCACCCGATGAGCTCTTTCGAAAATTCCGTGGCCGGGATCCCGACATCAAGTACATGCTAGAGAAAAAATCGCTCGTCTCTGCATCGTAATGCGTTTTGTGGATCTTGTTGCATCAACTCTTCGAGTAGTCACTAGTMAAATGGAGACAACCTCGCCAAAGACAAAGAATACCATGGATCGGATTTTCTTCCGATACCAATGCAATATGATCGGTTGTCGGTGATCGTGACTCCGTCGCTATATCTCCTTGCCTTTGTACGTTGTTGAATGCTTTGAAATTAGTTCTTTATGAAAGTGAAAACTGTTTACTAGACACTGAATTGCCGAATGATTTATTTATTTTAATTAGTACTTCTATTCAATAATTATGCTTTCACAATGTGACGATAGTATTACGTTATTGATCTTGTTTTGYTGTAGCGTTATTGAAACGATTCAATAACAGTAGGTCTCTCGTTGATTTTAGTGTCATCAATGTCACTTAAGACATTCACGTCGCCATCTGAGGAAATATTATCTGACGAAATATTATCTGACGAAACATCGTCATTCTCGTCGAAGATGCATTGATCTGAACCATGCATCGACTCTACGTCACCGTGAATGGCGTCGTCGGTTTGTAAACTTTGGTCGGACATTTTCTTCCCCTTCTTGCCATTCTTTGCAAACGGGCTGATTTCGCCATCGTTTGTGCTCTTGCCCTTGCTCTTCTTCTTTTTGGTCGATGCATYGTCAACCTTGCCAAGCTTTGTCTTGACGGCCTCTTCGGTAATCCTTTTGCTCTTTTTCTTCTTAAGGGGCTTGGCGGGCTTCGTATGCTCTTCGGTGACGCCGAGAACCCTGACGCTGCTACCGCCATCTCTAGAAAGCTTCTCTCGCTTCTTGGCCACCTTGAAAGATTGAGGCCTTGGTGGAATCGCGTCGCTTTCGACGTCCTCCATCTTTGCCTTTTTCTTTTTCTTCTTCTCTTTTCTTTGAGGAGAAGTGTCGCCTTGTTCCTGCACTTTGTCTGAACCAATATTCTCTTTGGACTTTTTCTTTTTCTTCTTSATACTTTTAACTTCCTTTTCTTGCGTGTTTTCGCTGTCTTTTGAGCTCGAGGTTTTAAGAATTTCGGTTCCACCAGTATCGGTTGGTGTTTTCAGATCTTGTCCTCTCCTCCCCACCTCAATCTTGTCACTGGTAGTAGCTGCCCAACTTTTCCTTCTATCGTACTTAGCTTGACCGATGTTGGCATCGGTATTCTCGCGGGCTGCAGTGGAGATGGACCGAGTAGGTGTAACGGCTTGCCTTAGTTCGACTGGTGCACTCTCGACGGTTCTACTCGTCCTATCAAGGTTTTCTCTCTCGACATCTTTTTTGAAGCCAACTTCGAAGAGTTGTTTTTCTTTTTGCGCCTCGTTGATCTTTTTCCACCATAGCTCTTCTTTCGTTTCTACGGAGTTAATTTTYTTCCACCATCGTTCTTCTTCCATCCGTTGCTCGGCATCTTTCTGCGATTTCTTTAGCCGCAGGCGACTGAAAATGTTTTTCGAATCTTCTGGGCTCGAAGGCGATAGGATGGGATCAACTGTCTCGTTGTCTACATCCTTGTTTGATTCTGGATTTTGATCGATGTTGACTTCTGTTTTCTTCGCCGYGCTCCTATCGCGTCCTTTTGAGACRGAGAAAGCATCATTTTGGCTACGTTTACTTCCCATACGGCYCAAGATACCCCGTATACTTTTTTTCCGTTTCAGAGTCTTGTTGGATGCTTTGTGATAACCCACTTTCACGCCTGTAACGGAAGGTTCTTTCCATTCGTCGTTCTTACACTTGTTATTTTCATCGTCGGCAACGGTGCTAWCRTCGACATCGTCGACGTCATCATCGAATTCCTCGTTGTCATCCCAMCTTGCACGAAGAGACTTTTGCGTCGTGTTCATTTCGATGATTTCGTCGAGCCTCGACGAACTCCTGCGATGTGTCGATTTGTTGTGATCACTGCTGGGAKGGAGGCTCGCTCTGGCAGATTCAGCGTCACCATCGTCATCCTTATCATGCGATGCTAATATCTTTGCCTCTTCCTCGTCCTCTTCCTTCTTGATCTTTTCACGTCGCCGAATTTCTTCTTCCAGTGCTGCATCCAGCAGGGTGTCCTGAAATTTGTCGGCTTTTGCATACTTGAGCTTGAATTCCTTCTTGACCTCGTGAAGGATCATCAGGAAAATATTCTTGTCGTCGGTCTTTCCTTCCGCTAGCCATGTTCCGTACAAGTCCAGGGCTTCCTCGAGGGCTTCTTCCTCGCGTTCCTTGGCTCGTGATTCTTTTTGTTGCGCCAGGTCCAGGATGTAACTCGCTGCGGAGATGGACAAAGAGCTGACGACGGTTCCCGAAGARCTGGTCTCCCATTGTTCGTCGAACGTCAGGGTTTTCTTGATACCTCTCTTCTTGAGGTGTTTGTAAAATTTGGTCCGTTCCACAGGATCCTCGATGACGTATTCCTTCATGTCGGGGATGTCCACGGAATTGTCCACGGACCGCTGCGGGCTTTCTTTGCCTCTCTCTGTTGATGTCGAAAGCAACTTGCTAGGACTCTGGCTAACAGAGATGCTGCTGCTGCTGCTCGTTGGACTAGAATCGCTGTATTCGGCACCAGCAATGAGACTATTGTTGCTGTCGTAGAAAGAAGTTCCCTGGACCCCGATGTGGGATTTGGCATCAAAGTTCAAGAGGGATGCATTGGGATTGAATTGACCGCTGGCGGTGGTGAAGGTGGATGGGACAGAGGTCCGGGACAGACCAGGAATGTTKTGGTTCTCGTGTTCGTCTGTTCGATYTCGKGGAGTCTCCGGGGACACTGTGGAAGTAGCTGTGATGGGGGACGACGTTGGTGTCGCCCAGGGGGTCTTTTTGCTAATGGAATCGCGATGGAATCTTCGGACGGGCGGGGGCATGGTCATGTTCTTGTTATGGTCTGCACCGCCTCCCCTTAGTGGAGAGTCTCGCCCTCGAATCTTGCCCTTTGCGTTGCTTCGCTTCGAATGAGATGCCGACCCCTGGGAGAACCGCGAGTGAGCCGAACTATCCTTGGCGGTTGCACTTTTGTCTCGCTTCCTCGCTCGGCGGGTTGACATGGTAGGTAATCAATGCTTTGCTGAGTTTGATTCGTTTTGTTTTGTTTTGTTTTGTTTTCTCGTTGCTGGGAAAATTATTATTGATGTTTGAATGGCTGTAGAGGCGGCGCTTCTCCCGCACTCTTCCACCCAAACTCGCCCGACTCGTGCGTCACCGGTACTGTAACGACTTCCTTTTGAGATTGAGATGTCGTGTACCTTTCTGAAGTCGTTCTATGGTGTCGAAACCTGCGAAAGGTTTGGTGAACACGAAGTGGTTCTGTAGCTTTGCACGGCTCGTTGATGGTCCTTTGAATTTAGAGAGTAAATTTTAATTTCATTAAGACTGCGAGGTGTCCCCTCGATCAATATTGTTGCATCGAATCGGCAAAGTTGTTTGATTCACTTATTCGGCTGTCTGTGCCAAAAGTCCACAAGGAGTTTTAGGAGGAGGCAGTAAACGCCTGGAAGCGCGAGACTTTATTTATTAGGGTTTCCGTGCGTTGTGACCGCAAAAATGGTGCGAACGAAGGAACATTTCGGCCTTCAGTCGTGTTCGTACAGTACAGTACCAGGTACGGTCCTGGGAAAAGAAAGGCAATTGTGCGTTCAGTAGTACAGACTGATAACAGACGGGGTGGAAAAAAYAAAAAAATACTAGAATCAAACCATCAACGAAAATGGTGCATGTTTACGACTCAACATGGAGAAACGATAACGGATGTGCGGGAACCATTTTTATTCGGTACGTAAAACTACCGTACGATTATTTCGATTACTCGTACCAAGAACCCTCTTATGTCCCCGAAATGGCAGCATTCACAACCGMTCTTTTTCAAACAAGAACGAGCATGCGCATTTTTCACGCACGTTTCGTCGAGCCGATTTTTGAAATCTCGAAAGTACGGAACGAATTGCAGTAGTACCGTACGTACCCGTACTCGTACGATTACGACTAACATACTTGTCGGGCGGGCATATTGTACCGTACTACGACTCCATAATTCGAACGATCGTACCGCTCAAAAGGACATTAGTTCAGATACAGTAGTTCTTCTTATGCACCAAAGTATGATCGGTACATACCAGTACTATCTGATACTTCGAGTACCACAGAGGCAGGTGGTACAGTAGTAAGGAAACAAAAACCATCGGCACCAATACATACGGTACTGTACGATACTTCGTATTAATCGTAGCAAACATTCTTTTCGGTAGACCCAAAACCCAAAATGCCCCACAGACTATATTGTGTTCAAATGCAACAAAAACCATGCGTAGATCGCAGCGATTGTGTTTCCTGTATTCCATTGGTAAGGCCCGTTGCCCCGAGACGTTGGCAATGAATCAATGAAATCAATCAATCAATCAATCAAGCGTGGGCAGTGGCTCATCGCCAGATTGTACCGACCGGTAGGTCAAACATTGGGTACAGTGTGCTACGCTTTTGCTGTTTTGCTAATCAAAAARATCRATGTAAAWGTTTGAATKTTTATAGCTGCAACATCGTTTCTCGTTTTCTCGAGTTGGTCGGATCCCGCCAACCGCCGAACTAAATCCCGTGGGGCAATCCTCCCGAGCAAAGGTCGGGTTTTCCGTTGGTTTCGCACCGGCCATMACGACCCAAGCCGCGTCGTCCGTCCTGCTGCTGCTAGCCGTATTTCGCCAGTGCTTCCTGCAGCTTGGCCTTGGTGGCCTTCAAAAGCTCGAGGTCGGCGTCCTCCCTCAGCACCAGGTGGGTTCCGTCGTTGTTCTTCTCCGGCAGCCCAAAGCCGACCGCCAGCAGGAGGCTCTTGGCCCCCACAAAGGGCTTGACCTTGTTCTTGTACGTCTTGGTTTCCATGTTGATGCTCTTGAACTTTTCCTCTTCCGGGTGGTCGGCGGCGTTTCCCACCAGCAGGCCCAGGACCTTGAGGCACTTGCCGCCGTCGCCGCCCGCCCGGTAGCTCGCCACCTTGGATATGCACTCGTCGATCCTGGCGGCGCCGGCGCCGCTTGTCTTTGGGCGCTGGGCCGCCGGCTCCTCGCCGCTTCCGTTCTCGTACTGGATCGCCGACGGGGCGTACCCGTCCACCCCCAGGCGTCCCTTGAGCTTTCCCTTGTTCGCCATCCGCTCCCGCTTGTCCTTTTCCAGCTCGGCCCGGATCCGKTCCCGCTCCTTCTTGAACTCGATCTTTTCCTTCTTGCGCGCCCTYGCSTCCCGCTTRCGCTGCTCGGCCTCCATCTGCTCCCGGGTCTGGGCCATTTCCTTGCCCATGAACCGGCGCTGCTTCTCCCGCTCCGTGTGGTCGACCTTCTCGGCCTCCTCCCGCTCGGCGCGTTTCTTCTTGAGGAGGGCCTTGAGCTCCAGGATCTTGGCGGCCTTTTCCTCCGGCGTCCTGGGCTTGACCGTCTCGGTCGACTCCTCAAAGTCGGTGTGCCCCGTTCGGTTCGCGTGCAGCTCGAGGTCGGCGAGGGTGGCAAAGATCTTTCCGGTGGCGTTGCACTTGTAGGACACCGCCTTGGGTGCTCCGCTGCCCGCTCCGCTTCCACCGCCACCCGAAGGGTCCTCCGGRATGGGGTCGTCGATGTCGGCGTCGTCCTGGTGTTCCATCAGCCACTCGATCGCGGATTCCACCGTGTTCCCGGACGAGTAGAGGAGGCCYTTCTGGGCCCGGACCAGCGAAAACCCCATCTCCTCCGTCAGGTTTCGGAGGGCCTCCGGATCGAGGCTATCGACCGGGCTCTGTTTCGGTTCGTCGCTGTTGCTGTTGCTGTTGCTGTCGCTGGTGCTGGCGCTATTTTGGGGAGCAACGGCTTCCGTTTCCTCCGCTGCCGGCTTGGAATCCTCCGTCTCCATGGGAACGGCCTGTTCCTCTTTCGATTCCGGTTGGGCCTCCGCAGCGGTTGCTGCTGCTTCCGCGGGGCCTCCCCCGCCGCCCAGCCTCGCCAGCCGGAGGGCCCTCGCGTCGGCTTCGCTGTGCGATCCGCCCAGGGTGTTTCCGCCCGAAGACGGCATAGAGGGACCCGCCTTGGCCTCGTGCCTCTCGATCATGGCCTTCAGGCCGGGCAGGTTGGCCCCCTCCACGCGCTCGGCCTCGGTYCCGCTCGCAAAGAGAACGTAGGTGGGAAAGGCCCGGACGCGAAAGGTGTGGAGGTAGTCCCCGATGTCGTTGTCGTCCTCGTGGACGAGGGACACCGGGACCTTTTTGGAGTCCCTCGCCAGCTSCTCGAGCCCGGGCCTGGAGGCCTTGCAGGGCCCGCACCAGTGGGCGCTGAAGGCGACCACGCAGACCGGGTTCGATTCCACAAAGGTCTTGAGTTCCTGGGCCGTCTGGAATTCGAGGAGCGTCATGTTTGTTTGTTGTCCTGGCGAGTGTTTTGGTGGTGGTTGTTTAGTGGTGTGTTTGGTGTCGTATGGGTTCTCGGGAGGTGCTGTGCGGTGCGGTGCTGTGCTGTGCGGTGCGGTGCGGTGCGGTGCTGTGCGGTGCGGTGCGGTGCTGTGCTGTGTGGTGCGGTGTGGTCTGGGATTGGATCCGATACTCGCGCTTGTCCTGTCTTCTAGAGAGGGGGTTCTGGTGCAACAAAACAAGACAAACGCCGTCGCGGGAGAACAGATTCGATTGTCAAGTCATCAAAACGAAAGAAACACGATCTCTGAATCCATCTGATTCCATCAGATCACGCCAAAGCGAGTGAGAGCGAGGAGGCAGTCAGAGTCATTCGAAGATCGACGAAGGTCTTGGAAATGCTGGATTCGTTCGACTCAATTCGATTCGATTGGTTCGATCACATCCGGTGTTCCGTACTAGAACAGGAACCAGGTACGAGTATTTTGTAGTACTTCTATTTTAATGGTATCGTACCATACGTATCGCACCTTTATGGTAGCGTCGGATACTCGTACGTAGTACTGTATGCTGTATGTACGGTGCCGGGACTCGACCAGAACCCTGCAAACCCTCGTCAAAAGTTGACTGCTGGAAGCTGTCTTCCTTGTTCTTTCTGCCAGTTTGAGGCCTCCATCCTACCGTATGCATTTGATGTTTCTTTCCTGCTCGTAGCAAGACCAAGCAAAGTGAAAGCAAAACAAAAAAATCTCTTCCATAGAACGAGAGGATCTTTCTTCTAAGGAAAACAAATCAGTGACGACGACTAGTACTACTACTACTACTACTACTGGTACTACTACTGGTACTACTACTGGTACTACTACTACTACTAGCTACTCGGGTGTGTTGGTCGGATCGATAGAGCCAACCCGTGTTCTTGAAGGAACAAAATTCGCATTTTCTTGCAAAATCACAATGGTTCATTTTCTTCTGTTAACTGAGTGTTGGTTTGTTTTTGTTTGACCAATACCATAACGTTGGGGAACAAACAAATTCTACCCTGCAAAGCATGATAGCCCATGGATGGTGGTGCTGGTCTCGCAACCAAAATCAATAATGACTCAAGAGCCCMAGAGACCAAGAGCATTTCGTTCTCGCTGAAGGACGCGGTGTGTCCTTGCCAGCACCCGATTCGCATTGACACGTCGCGGTTCAATCATTGCCGATGCGATCACCACTCGAGAGCATCGGGTCACCGGTGTTCCGTCACACCTCTTCTTCTTCGCTGCCGGTCGAAGCACTCGTGTTCTGCTTCSCGCCGTCGCCGCRGTCTTCGTAGAAAAAGTTTTGCCGGCAGCACGGGCACGGGTAGGACTCGTACGTGTCCTTCGCGTTTATCTTTACGAGGTAGCTCGTCAGGCAATCCCGGTGGAASGCGTGGCGGCAGTTCTTGTTCGAGGACCACACGATGGTGTCTCCCTCGTGGTATTCCTCTAGGCAGATGGCGCAGAGATTGGCCACCGGCTTTCCGCCGGTGCCGCCTGGRTCTCCACCGGTTTCAATGTCGGTGTCGTCGGGTTCGGTGCCGCCGTCGCTGTGGACGCCGTCCGCGCCGCCYACCATCACTATCCCGTGGTCYTCCTCYCCGTCCAGAGAGCATACGTCCTCGCGGTCTTCTTCGCCATCGAGCGACTCGCTGTCTYTTGTCGTRGCGGATCCCATGCTTACGGAACGGCTGCGTCGGATCCGACTGCACGTTACTCTCTGTGATCAYGCAGGAGCCATAATTTACAGGAATTGCCGTGMGCGSGTGAGAAAACGGAAGTGGCGCGAATGGATTTGTGTGGCTTTAGTGTGTTTCGTTGCTTCCGTTGGTTCGAACTTACCTCTTGGATGTGCTCGGTTTGGAAGAGTTTGAAWATAACCGCTCTCCTCTTCTGTTCTTCCCATTTCGGAACATTTTTTCGATTGGCCGTGGTGGTGTTCGCGGTTGGGTTCGGGTGGATTGATTCATCGATGTCCTCGCTTTCTGCCCCGAATCTCGATTTTTTGTACATGACACAACCCAATACCGTGAGTGAGAAGAGTGCAAGTGCCCACTCGAGCATTCTTGTTTGGGTGGATTCGTTCAATATCGTTGACATCGTGCAAGTGTTGTGTTGTTGTTGAAATTTTTCTGTCTGTATGATGGATCAGAACAATTTATCRATGATTTTTATGGGACAATTATGTAAGAAAACAAACCGCATGCYAACTTCACTCACCTCCCTTAACGATACCGCACCGTACAGAAATGGGTAGGAATAAGCAAATGGAGACATCGGGGAATTCCCGAACGTTTATGTCGCGAAAAACCAAACACTTTGATGGATTCTTTCTTTGCTAGCCGTTGTTTGATTGGTAAGGTACCTTCGGTGAGTTGGCCAACCGCATGGCACAAATGCCTTTTGACCAATAAAATTASTTTTTTTTGGTTTTAACATCTGTTGAGCTTTTTTCGCGAAAATCGCGATTTTGAAGGTGTTCGTCAAGTACGTTGGGTACGATACTCCGCGTAAAACAACATTTTCTTTAAATACAGTTCTACGGTATGCGTAGCGTAAAATAACAATTGAACTTTAGTTAATTGAGGCATTGCGCACTGGTACTCGTAACATACGGCACCAATTACAGTACTGTGATATATTCCGAATGTTGATTTTATACCATTCCGAATGTTGATTCCACATTCCAGACCTKAAGCCCGTCGGCCTGCGTAGAAATGAAAACAGTAATGCGTTTTTTGTTTTTTGCTTGAATTTAGCATACATAATAAACATTCAAAATGTTACCTCCATACCGGACAAGCAGGATTAATTAWGACCCCTTCGGACAAGTACCCGGTACGAGTACTTTACGTACCGTACTTGACATAGAGAACCCCAGAAAGGCCCGTTATTGTAAACTTTTGGATGATCTCACCMRGCACGRGTTTGTTGCGTGCTAGGAACAAGACAGCGTAAGTGTAGTACGGTATTTTACGGTACGGTACGTCGGCAACCAGGGGGATCCATTATTCGTGTGACAACGAACCCGWATGGTAGTCAAACTTCGTTCTCAACCCTCTACYCGTAGTTGCTTCTCTYCGATCCGATCGGTTTTTCAAATGGTAAGCACAACAAAACTCAAACTRTCYATCCGCATAGTGAATCAAACATTGAAATCGAATCGAAACGAAACGAATTAAATCACATTGAATCGAATCCATCGATCTGTCGCTCGCTGTGCCCCATATTGCATGGCAAGCACGAAAACCACCATTTTACGTGAGAAGCATCGTTGCCGTGACTAGAGGAATAGAATGAACCACTTTGTTGCGCGGTAACCAACCCATTTGGCAGTACGAGCTTCGAATTCCGCACGGATCGGTGCCATTCAACGCAACAGAATCCTCCCAATCCATATCTCGAACAGTCCTAAATATCTCGAACAGTCCTAAATGTTGTCTCAGACGCCGAACGCTTCTTCCTCTTATCTGCCCACACAATACCGCCGGAAACTCCCCCGCGCATCCAATGCCRCCGCCGACAACAACGCAACGACGATAAACACCCTGCCACTGGACCAAAAGGCACCCTCCAAGAGCAACCAGGCTCCYTCCCCCACCACCTACCGGATTTTGGTGGCGACCTTTGTGCTGTACTCGGTCTTTCTCGGCTGGTACGCGTCCACCCGCCCCAAGGGCAAGTGGAAGTCGCCCTTTTCGTGGCACCCCTTTTTGATGACGGTTGGCATGACGGGATCCATGGGGATCGCCGCGGTCACCAAGAAACTCGGGGGCTACACCAACACCAAGCTGCACGGAATCCTGGCGAGCYTGGGCTTTTTCGTCTCGCTCGGTGGCGTGTACGCCATTTACCACAACAAGAACCTTTATCAGCGGCCCCACTTTACGTCGGTCCACGGGAAGGTCGGGATCGCCGTGGTGGCGATGATGGCGCTCCCGATGCTGGCCGGCGCCGTATTTCTGCACCCCGACTTTGGGATCGACAAGACCAACAAGCTGTACCGCAAGATCCACAAACTCGCCTCGAGGGTCTTGATGGCGGTGGCGTGGGGGAACAGCCTGTACGGCCTCTATGGAATGCGGTCGGAGCACCCCATGGAGCTGATTCTGTACGGCGTTCCCCTCGTGGTCCTGATGCCCATGACGCTGCTCTAAAAGGACTCCAAACCGYATCGAACCGTATACTTTGCAACACTWTTCACAAAACCAAACCAGATCGTATACGCAACAACGACAAAAAGCAACACATSGGATTTGGTGGCTCGATTGAGCTTTCCCATAGATCATTATAATAACAACATGATAACTTGCTTTTGCCACTTAACTAAATTACCCGAGCTAGCCATAGTACGGMAACTGTTTGTACATACAGTAAAATGYGYCATACTAATTGTGCAAGTAGRAATGGTCTCGACCAGAATTGTGTTGTCTCGGAACGTTTACAGCAATACATGCATATAATTCATCCACTTTTGCGACTCGCAGAGTTTGGTGATTGTTGCGGTTGCGATGTGACTGGCATCAAATCAAATAGAATTGAATCGAACCGAACCGWATCGCTACAGCTCGTGGTGCTCGTAGCTAAGGAGGATTATTCCGAGGGCCGTGATGGAGGCCGAGGCGTACCATTTCAGAATGGCGTCGGTCCCCTCGATTTCCTTAAAGTAAAAGATCCCCCACAGCCCGCTSACMAGCATGGACGCCTGGCAGGCGCTGTATCCGACGCCCTCCCCAAGGTTCTCCACGGCCACGATCGAAAAAAAGTTTCCGATGCTCCAGAGCAGGCCACAGCCGCACCCGTAGGGCCACATCTTCTTGAAGTGGAACGAAGGCAGCGCCCGGTACGCGGTGGAAAACGAGTAGCTGTGCTTGTGGCAAAGACACAGGTACCGCAACAACCAGAACGACAGGGTCACGAGTGTGGCTCCGATGGCAAAGCTGGTCAGAAAGGGCAAGCCCTTGTCGACATTCGGAGCAAATTGCATAGGAACCATTATGCTTCCTCCCCATATCCCGGTTACGACAAGGGCTGCTAATATTCCAAGCGTTCGTTCCTGCAACCTCAGAAATCCCCAACAAAAGACGACGTGCGGAGTTTCTTCCTCGGAATAGTCCACTGCCTGGATCATCGGAACGTCCAGCCGTTCCATGCTTTCGTCGATGTSGYCGTTGTCCTCCAAGCMATTGTTGCAGTTGTCGCTGCTTGCCCCGTGTTCCTCGGCCGCATCCGCCTCTACGTCCATGGAGGTGTACTCCGTTTCAAAGGCCTCGCTGGGCGGCAAAAAGTTCAGATTCTCCGGCGAAACGGCGTGGTAGTAGGCRTCGTCAAAGGCGTCGTCAAAGTCGCCAGACCGGGGATTCTCTTCGGGCGCGCGGGGGTGCGACGCGTGGGCAACTGTCGGGGCCGAGTAGTAGGCCATCCCCGCCAGKCCAAAGAGCATGCAGCCGACGGCAGAGCAGGCCTGGATCCGGCTGTGAACGTGTTCATCAAAGAAGAAGATTCCCCACGAAAAGGAGACCAGAACGATAAATGAGGAGCCCACGCCGATTCCGATGGCCAGCCCGGCCGTTTTGATGGCGTAGATAGTGGCCACCCCACCGGGGACCCAGAACAAACCCGAGAYGATCCCCCAGGGTGTAAAGGTAACCTCTTCCCCCCGGATCAGGAGAAAGAGCCAGGAAGTGAGAAAGCACATGGCTGTCTTGTAGGACTGCATCACTAGTGGGTCAATATCGATGGACCGCGCGACCTTGGACTTGACTGGGACCCCAAAGGACCCAAAGGCCAACAGGGCAGCAAMGGCGGCCAGCCATCCGCACATTTCGCAGGTCGAGGACGACGAGAGCAGAGATCCGCTRTCGCTTCCGCTGTCGAACAAAAAGGATGGGTCCGACATGATGCCAGCGAGATCAGTTTAGTAGACGATTGGAGAACAGCTTCGTAGTAAATCGGCGACAACGAATTCGGTGGGGTCCCAAAAACTCCTCTCTCGCTTGATTGTTTYTCTCTGGGGTGTTGCTAGCGRATGATTTAGATCGGCTCCTTCTGGCGTTCTGGATGGTATCGTGATGCRGAGCTGTTTTGGTTTGAAGAGTGTCAAAGAATTATTATCAAGCGGAATAAAGTTCCTCTCGGTGACGACGGAGATTCGATTCTTGTCGAAATTCAAAATATGGCGAGGWCGTACTTCTAGCGTCCCAGTCACACCAGTACTCGTATTACTGAATTGCTGCTTACGAGAGCGCTCCTGTAGAAGTTCAAGTAGTAGGGTATGCACGAGTAATGTTRGTACGTAGCTGTCTGTTCCGATATTTCCATCAAAAACTTCTCAAATTCTGATTGAGTTGAATTCACTGCGCTTCTTGTTCGGAGATGGTGGTGATTCGCGCGTGCACGTTCCCGAACAAATTGAAAAGAAACCATGGAACAAACTCAACGTCAACGTTTTGTGTTTCATGTCAAGCCTGATCCCGTGTGTCGRAATTCGTCAGTCGTCGTGTCAATCCCAAAACCTRAAAATACGACTCGTACGATTAAAATKAAACATCGAGGCAAATCCGTTTTATTTTTCTGCTATTCGCTGAACATATTTGCTCCCTTCAATGAATTACTGGCGCGAAAGAGTGCCCATCCAGTGCATCGGAGTGATGCAAGCTAATAAGGTCAGTCACAGAAAAGTCGCAGAAAAGTCGTCGTACAGGGTGGATGCCAAAAAATGGATCAACCGYGGTGTTCTGACCTGCATCGATTCCTTTCACGAAGCCGTGATATGCGAATGAATCCATCGGACTTTTATCGGGAGAAGCTTCTACTGGTCTAGATATACTGATGCATCGGATTGATGGCAACTGTGTATGGTTCTTTAGGTAATCGCAAATCTGACCGCGTGTGGTTGGTTGGAAATAATCAATTGATCTCCGGCCCACAACAAACCGTAATYCCCRTCCTCGAACGACTGCTACCACAACACTATTATCGCATGGYATCATGCTTKCGTTTCCGGRAAYCCTCCCGCTGTTCCTGGAGYTCGTCGAGTGCTGCCGACACGATTCCAAGCCCCGCTATTATAGCCGTGTCCACCCTCAGAATGGAGCGTCCCAGGGACGCGGATTGGTACCCCGCGTCGTGAAAGAGCTCTGCCTCGTCGTCCGTCCAGCCCCGCTCGCTGCCGATGGCAACCACCACGCGCCTGCWCCCGGACAATGAAGTGCTCCCTTCTCGCTTCTGGTCGATATCCACGATGGCCTTTCGACATGGTGGGGGCTCYGTCGTCTCGTCGCCGCAATCCAGGAAGATTCGAATGTCGTCRTCGTAGCATTGGTTGCTATCCRAAGAGTTTTTTGTCGCCGCTGGTGTGGTCGTCGCCAGCGACGCCTCTTTTGCAAGCCCGAGTRCATCGAGAATCTTCCGAGAGACAATCTCKTCGACGGAAACATCGACCGTTACTTCGCGAGTGTGGCATCCCTGGCTCATGCCCTCTTCCAGAAGCGGCCGGTACACCTCGGGCGTAAGGACGCTCGACCTGCAATAGTTCGGATCCGATAGTGCTCCACGGACGACACAGATTCTGGTCACACCCATCGAGGCGATTTGCGCCCAMAGYGCCTTGAGGCGCTTCGGAAAGGGCAGGGAGATCAACAAAACGATGTCGTGGGGCCGGTGGCTGCTACTTCCGGCGCTGTCGKGGGAGGATGAATTGATTTCAAAGGCCAGTTCCAATCGATTCCCGATCGCTCCGGATGTCCTCACGATGGCTTTGCCTCTTTCTCCAGAAACGATCCCGATCGTTACGGGATCCCCATCGGCTTTGCGCAGGTGCCCAAATATGTGTTTCGTTCTCGGGTCTTTGTCTCGCAACACTATCGTTGTTTCATCCGCGGAAAGTTCGCTGCGTCGAAAGAGGATCAGGTTCATTGTTCTGTGCGCGTTTGTGCGATAACAAGAGATCTTCCGTTTGCTCTTGATGTGTTTCTCCCGAAGGTGGTGGTGGTGATGGTGCRGTCGTTCCTCGCACACAGTCTCCGATACGTCATTGTCGAGTTTAAATTCGAAACTGTCGAAGAAATTTTTAAAGCGCTTCATTTTTGAAATCAGTGATCAATACAGTAGTGGACGAACCTACCGTACATACCGTACAAGGACGTATCGTACTACCATACGAGATTCGAGATCGGTTTTTTAATTGATGTCCGGTCGGTGGTCTGTATGCCGTACGTTGGTGACAATCTCATGATCGGGCGCGCCCGATTCGTCTGCCACCATCATCACATCATCTATCATCACATCATCACATCATCTATCATCACATCATCTACTACCAGGTACGAATGGGAACCTCGTACGTCGTACGTACTTCACTATCTCTCGCATGATTATTGAATCCCTCTTGGGAATTTGATAGGTACAAGAAGTACTCGTACTCTTCTTGACACAGGGAGCCTATTTTTGGGAAAAGAAAAGATTCTGTTTCGAGTCAATTTCAAAAGCAAGTCCTGGTTCAAGATCGTCCCGCACAGTTGCAGCATTGAGCTCACTATTTCTCATTCCACAAATACATCTTCCGACCAACATCCAAACCCCGCACAAATTCATATCATGAAGTGGAAGCTACAATCGTTTCTTGCCGTGCTTCTTGCCACACTCCTTTTCGACGAGATCCTTGKAGAAAGCATGCCAGAAAAGAAAAGCGATACAGGCAACGATGACACTGTCACGACTTGCGAAACCACCGAAGAAGTGTTTGCACCTCTGTCAGAAAGGCCAAACGAGTTTGTGCCTTCCTCTAGACCGGAGATTCGACTGGCCGTCCGCCGTTGGGTTCCTGAGGATAACVAAGTCAAATCCATTCTGATTGTGCACCACGGAGGGTGTGGGTGGCATYCGGGTTACTTTGACAAGCTCGGAAATGTTCTGAAAGAAAACGGAATCATTCTGATTTCCTACGACCAGGTTGGAAGCGGTTACAGTGATAGCATAAGGAAAAGAAGACAATACTTTGATACAATGGATAGACTATCGGACGATCTGACAAAGTTTGTGAGCGACGCAAGAAATCGATATCCGAGCAAGTCGGTGTTTGTTCTGGGAGAAAGTTTTGGTGCCATGGTCGCCCTGTACAGCATTTTGAAAGAGCAGCAAGCTAACSCAACAGCGGTTGCGGATGGCTACGTCATGGCCGGCCCAGCTATTACACTGCGCCCGGAAATGTTGCCCCCCCGGTTTGTGATCAAAATCGTCAAAGTTTTGGCCCGGTTCTTYCCGARCCTGAAAATGCCGGGGGTGGACATATTCTCAACGTTCGACGATGCCTTCGGAGATCCTCGCTGGGCGGAGGCCGCGCGGGCCGATCCGTTCATCCAGGAAGCCTTCGTTTCGGCTCCTTTGTTGGGAATGGCGGCCTCCACGCTGACGGCCTCCGACAACATCGTCGCGTCGATGGATCGCGTGGATGCCCCGTTTTCATAGTGGTAGGCAATGAAGATACCCGCGTCGTGATTCCAGACAGCGAAAGGCTTGTTCAACTCGCCAGGTCCAACGACAAGCGACTGAAGATTGTCGAAAACGRTCGCCACATGCTCTTCCAGGACAAAGCAGAGATCACGGCCGAAGTTATCAACGACATCAAGGAATGGATTTTGGCGCGATCRCATTAGGGTAGATCCACTGTGTTTGTGCAGTAGGAGGGGAAGGGGAGAAAACAAGTTGCACAGTAGTAGTCGGGCCTAGACCAACTAACGCTTAGAAAAGTTCCGTCGACTGTTCTTCCCACAGTCACGACATCGACRGGTACCGGTGGTGTTGACATACAATCATCGGGAATATCAATCTAACCCAATGCCTATTAGTGGAACTCAAATTTACAATCTGTAACGGAGTAAGAAAGTGCAGATCTTTACAATAATATAAATGAACTAATTTAGAAGTATATCCACTCGAGAACAGTACGAGTACATACAAAGTAATAAATTAAAAGATCGACGACCATTTCCTTCGGTTARCCATCTGTGACATTCGGTTTGGCAAGTAATTGAACGACAGAAAGCAAGCTTGATTTAAAGAAGAAAACCGCAAATTTGATCGGTTCCTGAGTTATCCCTTGACAACAGCGTTCTCAAAATACATCTGACCAAAATTACTGGTCGTTCCCYAATTATATCTTTTCCTCCTTTCTTCTTTCCCTTACACCGCACCTCGACAAATKGAAACCCTAGGCGAGTARTTTCTTGGCCAATTCGTAGTACTCTCCACAGGGATCRATTTCGTCCTCSTCCAAGAGACCTTCGAGCTCGACCTTGAGTTCCGCAATTTGCTTCTCCATCTTTGGAATTTGGATTTTCAAGAAAGTCTGCTTGGCACTATCGACTTCCTTCATCTTTTTCTTCGCCTGSATGACCTCTGTGACAAGACTGATGGAGAAAAGTTTGGATCGCGTCGATGGTTCGTCGATTGCGTGTGTATGGCGTACGGTCGAGCGATTAAAAACCGTCGCATCCCGAAAAATAGGAGGTATTATTATTCGTCAATAATCACAGTAAAAATGACGCATGGTCCAAAAGAATGAGAATGGATTTCGGTGGAATCGATTGCACACTTGGTGAGCAATCACTTCCAGGATCCATCGCAACGAGAAAGTCACAATACGGCTCCCCCGACTCGATTTCATGAACGACCAGATTAGAGTACAAAATGAACACAAGACTGCTTACCGGTCGCAGGTCTTGGCCTTGACCATGAGAGAGCGTTCGAGGCCCACGAATGATTGTTGACGTTGCATTGTTGTGTGTAGTTGGTCGAATCYTATGGTAAGATGTTATGAGATGTGTTTGTCAAATCAGTTGTGTCAGTTGAGTTCGCATAAAAGCAGACGCCTTGCGGGGACAAACCTACTCGTATCGGTACCCTTCGCTTCTAACTTACTCACACTGGAATCGTATTGTACCGTAGCCTACGGTACGACACCGTACAAGGAGAGAATGCCAGTCRAAGAAAGATATCATCAAAAAAATTGACTACATCAATCTGAAGATGGTGTCATTACACACGAATCGTACAGGAATTTTTTGGCATATGCCAGTCGAAGTCATTTTGGTTCCGTAATTCGACTCGAATGACTCCTGCTGCTGTACCATTGAGAATTGAGATGCCATCTGTCATCAAAGAATGGAAGTGTACTCATATCCATTATATCTATTATATCTATCTATAATACATATCATAGTACCAGTTCATGATGTACTTCGTAGAACTTACGGTAAAAAACAGTCGTGGACAGAAATCGTGGAAATCTCCMTCCACTTTTGTTTCGTTCGTTCATCGTACCAACTCATCATCTTTGCTAGCTTTCTCGAAGAGCCTAACTCTTCGCGGCTGGRCTCGGAACATTGGTCACCGTGCAATGACATCACAATTCGATAGCGTTGTATCCTCTCACGATGCCGGCAACAAGAAGACAGCGATCTCAAAAAGAATCCGTGACACCAGATCTCGTGGCGTCGGTGACTTYGGAGAMAGGAAGCAATAGGCCGACCAGAAGAAGCACGAGAAGAACAGCCGTGAAGGCGGAAGAGAGCGTCGTGGATGGGACTGATTCYGCCGCAGTAAAAGAAGAAGAACCCGAGGCCGACGAGGGTGATGAAAACGACGACGACCAAGAGAACCTCGAGAACTCTTACTTCTTGGATGGCCAAAAATTCACCAACTACCAAGACTATGTGRCCGCCAAGCGCAAACGAAACCAGGCCGTCATCATGAAGCTCGGCTTTGGCTCCTCTGGGAACGACGCTAACAAACGCCTCAAGATCGGTCGAGAGGCAAACCCGGCGACGCAACGGGGGCTTCGAAGCAACAAAAAGAAGGCTGCGAACAAAGCACCACCGGTTCGAAGCCGCAAATCRAGCAGGATTTCCGGCGATGGYACCAAGCTCKTGGCCCTCGACATGTACGCCAACGATTGGGCYCTGTACAACACCGTGGTGRCGAMAAAGGGCGAGGGAGGAAACRATGCCGAGAGCGACGAGGATGAACAGGAAACATTCTTCAAGGGCCGTGTGAACGATGGTTCGCCCCTGTCTCTGAAGGAGGCAATCGAGATGAACGAGCCCAAATGGATCCACGACGACTCGGAAGACAATGCCAAACGGCTCCTCCAGAAGCTGGTGTCGTGTGACGATTCCGAATCCGCAAAGAGCGATGCGCGAAGAAGTCCGACCTCCGTTGTATCGGCATCCTGGGAGACAGAGCTGACCGACAAGGTAGAGGCACTCTCTATCGACAAGGAGGAATGGATCTGCAAGGTCACCCCCGATCGAATCTACGGTGTGGCGACCCATCCGAGCGAATCCAAACTCATTTGTTGTGCCGGTGACAAGCAAGGGTACGTCGGATTGTGGGACGTGGACGGGAAAAGCGCCGGAGACGAGGGCGGGGAGAAGGAGAACAACGGTGTAGTCTCTCTGTTCCGCGTTCACAGCCGCCCTATCTGCTGCCTCGAATGGATGGACAACGAGCACATGGTCACGGCTTCCTACGACGGAAGCGTTCGTCGATTGAATGCCCAGACCGGAACATTTGAGGAGATCTTTGCCACCTACGACGAATCCGATTCCACGTATCTGGAGGATCTGGGATTCGGCCTCGACCAGGGGTACCGATACTGGACCCAAAGCGTGGCAACGGACCACCGGTACAAGGATGCCTGTCTTTTTGTGTCCACCTCTCTCGGGGACGTCTTTCACGTGGATTTGAGAAAAAAGCAAAAGATGACCTTTCACGAAACGGTCAGCGACAAAAAAATCAATTCGGTCAGGTGCGTGCCTGTTCCATCCTTCTGGTTTTGTTCCCCGTGTTGCCAGGAAACAATCGCTAACTCACAATGCCCATTTTTTGTTTCCGCCCTTCTTGTTTGTTTGGTAACGATGCATTGTAACGATGCAGCCTTCATCCAAACGGAACAACCCTGGCTTCTTCCGGCAACGATGGGGTCGTGCAATTGTTCGACATAAGAAAGTTTGGTGATTCGAGGAACTCCTCAAAATCGCCCAAGCCATTGTGTACCCAAACCGCGGGGCTCTCCGTGAGCAGTTCCTTCTTTTCTCCCAGTGGAAAGAGCCTCCTAACCACMTCTTTTGCCAATCGTCTTGACCTGACGGAGGATGCGCATCTCGCAAAGGGCGGGAAAAAAATCCAGCCGACCCATAGCATTCGGCACAACAACCAAACCGGTAGGTCCAACAAAGGAATCAATCGATCGCCCTTTTCTTTCGCACTGCACTGGAATTCTCAACAATCTTTTCGTCCACACGACAATGTAACCCTTTCGCGTATAACAACAACAACGACAACAACGGGTCACAGGTCGCTGGTTGACAACTTTCCAGGCAAGATGGCATCCAGCGGCGGACATTTTCTGTTGCGGCAGCATGAACAAACCCCGCTGCATGGAAATTTTCGATGCGAATGGYCGACTCYTGCGGGAAGTGACGGGAGAAGCCCTTGGCTCCGTCATGAGCCGAACGTGCTTTCACCCCTCGACCAAGCAACTAATTCTAGTAGGTGGCAACTCGAGTGGTCGAATGGTAGCCATTCGGTAGACAATTTTGAATGCACGCGTTGGATYGCCACAAACAGCTATCGATTTTGTTTCTCGTGGRAAACCARCATTGCGAAACGGTGGCCTTYGGCMGGATCCATAAATAAATACTACGATTTGTACACTGCACGAGGCTCTTGTTATCGCAACATTTATTTTTCTAGGTTATTCTTTAGTTTTTGCCGATTGTCGATTCCAACGGGGTCATTTCGTGGCTCGCGTCACCGGAGCAACAACAAACAGAAMTGTGCGACAAGCCGTGCCGCGCAACACCGGAACGGAGAATGAGCAATGCATCCTATCGACGTTCCTTCGACGTYGCGGTTCCAAGCCACACCGGCGTCTCCCTTTTTTCTCATGCGGTGCAGGTTTTCTTGAGGTAGGCAATGAGATCCTTGCGGTCCGCTGGCTTCTTGATTCCCGCGAAGACCATTTTGGTTCCCTGTGAAATCCAAAAGAAACAGCAGCCGATGGTGAGACAGAGCAGCAAAACTGATTGGGCGGAAAACAAAACACGACAAACCATGGTATTGACAATACAAAAATAAACGGTGTGCCTGCCGGTCCCTCCGATTCGATCGCGGCCCAAAGCTTCCACCGCCGTGCGCCGAACCCCGTTCCGTCTACCGACGGWGCCCTTGTGCATCGGTGCCGCGGGCGGAACGMAATCCGTCGACGCTYGGCAACAAGGGGCGGGGATCCATTGCRACAACAACAAAAACAGACTACACATGCCGCAACGRAGGCACGGCCAGCCCCGCGGGCCACAGAGAGGATGGGCRGCCGTCGCCGGCCGTTGCAAACCAAGCTTTCTCGCCGGCAGCCACAGGCCTCCATCGAAAAACCGAGGCACCCACGGCACCGACCGAATCCAGCCGTGCATACACACACACACACAAACACACACACGCAAGCACGGACGCACGGATCCACGCACCTTCATGTACTTCTTGGGGTTTTCGAGGTAGTCGAACAGAGACTGGTCCTCCCAGATGACCCCGGACTTCTTGTTGGCGGCGGAATAGGAGTATCCGTCCTGTCCACCGGATTGCTTTCCGAAAAAGCCGTAGAGGTTGGGTCCCTGCTTGTGGGCTCCTCCTTCTTCGACGGTGTGGCACTGGGAGCACTTCGTCTTGAAGATCTTGGCTCCCTTCTTTTCGTTCGCTCCCTTCTTCTTTCCCATTTTGGTGCTGTCGATCGGTGTGTAGATTCGATGTACGAATAAATAATAATATKAATATGAAGTTAAGACAAAAAGGTCGAAACTGCACGACGTGGAAGGTTGGGAAAACTCGTACCGAAATGCCAGTTGCGCAAGAAGAATCGATTGGCGAGCCGTTGGTTTGTTTGGAAGTTGCCTTCGCTTCATCYTGCAAAACTTCCTCCTGGGCCTTCCTCCTTTCGAAGAAAGACTGAAGAGTAGTAMGAGTTACTACGGTACGCGTGGTGTCGAAACCCGTCACAAACTCGATTGTGCGCATTGTCTGTAGTACTATTCTACTACAGTAGTACGGTGCGATAACTAKTATGAATTRTGAATTTCCACATCTTCTGATTGGAGGGCGGGCTGGCATCTGCGAGCACGACGTCTTCCCCCCAAAGAATCTGAAGAACGTGTTCCAATCAGGTGTCTACAGAAGGAACGTGCATTCTGCCTCTTCTTCGCGAGAAGTAGGTCACTGGAGTCGAATCAATCGTACGTCGGCGGGCCACTTTATTTGTTTCGGACATGCGTACGCACGTGTCCGCTCATTCTTGGAGCCTTCAGATCTTACGAATACCGTAGTCCTGTAGGTATGTTCCGTACGGAAAGAACCAATAMTGCGACGAAGACGCGAGCTTCCACGGAGAAAAACCGTGTCATCGAAAACAGATGCCTCACCAAGTCGCGCATTCTTCTCGTGGTGTCCGAATTTGGGACCGGATGCGTGACTCGCAGATTCGAACCCCTTGAGCAGATGCCCCCAAACGGAGGGAGGAGGCCATTAGAAGTATTATTATTTGGAAGTTTTTGGAACCTACGAACAAGAATACGGAATACAGACTCGGCTTCCTGATTCTTGTCATTCGAAAACACGATGCTCAACAATATCGGGGTGTTCTGAAACTGGTCCAATAAACTACACTATGGCCTGTAATGCCGTAGAAGTATGCAGCCTCCTGTGGAAGGAGATTGCTTGCAATACAGTATCATTTGCTAAACCTACCGGACAGCAAGAAAAAAGTGTTTTCCTGCTATACTATTATGCGGAAGCTGCTGTGTGATCCAACTTGTTTTGTTTGTCACGATGCGGTCCACGTACCCGGCTCGGTACTGATTTCGCTGCAAGTGCCGTACCACACACGGTTTCCGGCAGAAGCACCAYCGCAGCCGGCAAGGAGGTATCCCGTGGGGATGCCCCGGCGCCGCCTCKGTGGGATTTGACTCCGGATGCATGGTCCGGGGTCTCTGGTATGGGACGATTTGGGTCGTAGGGAGCGTCGGTGATCAGGGGTGGTATGCCAAGAAATCCCAGCATTGGGGTCAGGCGGGGTATCATTCTCAAGGAGAAATGACGGGGATTGCGATTCATATCATACGGATAGCTGGGCGTGTCTCCGTTAGAGACAATAAGGGGGGCGTGTCAGTGATTAGGGGTGACGTGCCAAGAAAGCCTACTAGCTAGGGGGCAGGCGTGCCTGAGAAATAGGGTCAGGC